GATTTGAATCTGCTCAGGATTTTTCCTAAAGGCCTTGGTTGCTTCTCCTACCCAGAAAAACGCAGCAAAGATCACTTGGCTGGTCTGGTTACCCAGTATGGGTAGACCAATGACCCCTAACTGAGGAGAAATTGATTGCCACTAAGGCCGTAGTCCAAGAACAATTGAATGCAGGGTATATAGAGCCCACTCATAGCCCTTGGAATGCACCCAAATTTACTGTAAAGAAGGAATCAGGAAAATGGCAACTGCTGCACGATCTTAGAGCTGTGAATAAGACTATGGAGACCATGGGACCTCTACAACCTGGTCTCCCAAGTCCTACAGGTATCCCTTTAACTTACCAGTTGATTGCAATAGATCTTAAAGATTGCTTTTATACTATCCCTTTGCATCCAGATGATAGAAAAAGATTTACTTTCAGTGTCCCAACTATTAATAATAGGGAACATCATTTAAGCTTCCATTGGAAATGTTTGCCCCAAGGTATGACTAATAGTCCTTGCTTATGTCAGGAATTTGTAGCTTCTGCAATGCTCAGATAAGGGCCAAGTATCCTGAGGCTTACATGATTCACTATATGAATGACATTCTCTTGAGCCACCCTATGGAAGCTACATTACTACTGATTTGGGGGGATATGCAATTAGCTCTGCAGCAAGCAGCACTGTGCATTGCCTCTGAAAAAAACATCACCTTTTCAGTATCTTGGCAGCGTTACAGAAGGCAGGGCTATTAGACCACAAGCAGTAGCTATAAGACGAGATGTCTTGAAAATGTTAAATGATTTTCAAAGATTATTGTTGTTGTTGTTAAGTGCCGTTGAGTCGGTTCCAACCCATAGTGACCCTGTATAGGGTTTCCAAGGAGCATTAATTGGCCGCAACCCACCTTAAAACTCACTACGCATGACTTGCAACCACTGTTTACTATTTTACAAGGTGATCCTTCCCCGTCCTCCCCCTCCGTGTACTAACTCCTGAGGCTGGGCAAGTTCTAATTAAGGTGGACTCTTCATTGCAGCTGGCTCAGTTACAAAGGGTTGATCCCATGAAGACTTTACAAGTTTTAATTTTTCCAACATCACACACTCCCACCAGTGTCCTGTGGCAGGAAGAAGGCATAATGGAATGGCTGCACATGAGTAATGCTGAGAAAAGCTTACAACTCCCTTCCATACCTTGGTGGCTTCCATGATTGCTGAGGCCAGAATCAGAACTGTCCAATTATTGGCACATGAACCAGATAATATTATTGTTGTTGTTAAGTACTGTGGAGTTGGTTTAGGTTCATAGTGACACTGCACAGGGTTTCTGAGGCTGCAAATCTTTAGGGGAGCAGAAAGCCTCATCTTTCTCCTGCGGAACAGCTGGTAGTTTCAAACTGCTGACCTTGAGGTTCACAGCCCGATTCGTAACCACTACGCTACCAGAGCTCCTTTCATATTATGACCCCCTTTAATAAAACCCAACAAGGATGGCTCTGGCAGTTCTCTCCTGACTGGCAAATTTTTGTTGTTATGTGCCATGGAGTTGATTCCGATTCATAGCGACCCTGTACAGGGTTTCCGAGGCTGTAAATCTTTACGGGAGCAGAAAGCCACATCTTTCTCCTGCGGAACAGCTGGTAGTTTCGAACTGCTGACCTTGCGTCTTGCAGCCCGATTCATAACCAAAATTGGCTAGCCAATTTTCCAGGAACTCTGGATAATCAATATCCTAAAAATAAGTGGCTCCATTTTATTAGTCAAATGGTTTTCATATTTCCACGAGTGACATATTCTCAACCCTTTGGTTCAGCCACTACCAACACCTAGTCAAAGCTTCCTTCTAAGATAAAGGTTGAAATAGGAGAAAGTGTTCAAAACAGAATCAGACAGAGCAGGACATGGGCACTAGAATCAAAGAAAAGGTCTAGAGAGAAGAGAAGCACTAGCAAAGGATGTGAAGCCATATTTTCTGAAATACTTCTTGAAAACAACAGAAGAGGGAGCTCAAGAGCCAAAAAGTTAGAAAAGCTATCATGACCGACCCACGTCTCTTCAGAAAGTATAAACCCAAACCCCAAACCAAACACACAGCCTTCAAATGGATTGTGACTCATAGCGACCCTATATAAGGTTTCCGAGACTGTACATCTTTGTGGAGCAGAAAGCCTCATATGTCTTCCATGGAGCAGCTGGTGGGTTTGAATTGCCAAACTTCTTGTTAGCAGTTCAGTGCTTATCCTACAGCATCATAATTTCATGTAAAGATGGGGCCACAGGGGCTTATAGGTAAATCCCATATAAACTTTTTGTAAGAAAATTAAGGAAGATAATGCATCTATTTTCCTTAAGAGATGCTATCAGACTATCGGAAACTCTATGGGAACAAAAAATATCCGTGAAGACAATGGAAGACATGCCTACAGAAGAATTTAAAACTATAATCTAGTATTTCAAAATGTCCTAAAAGGCATTAAGAAATGACACAAAGCTTAAAAGAACATAGCTTATAATTAGAGCAACTCAAAAATGAGGTGACGGAACACAGAAAAGAATTAAACAGAAAATGACAGGTAAGGAGAACAGCCAACTTAAAAACAAAGACTTCCCAAAGCAGAAAACCAAACCAATGGAAGAGAACACTAAAAACCTGAAGAATGTTATTATTATTCATAAAAACGTCCCTGAAATAAAAAGCTTGAAGCTGCATACTTAAAGGACATCTGGGAAAACAATCTCAGAACCACCAAGACACAGTCTTTGGGCATCCAAACGCACAGACCTACTCCCTTAGAAGGGAAAGAATTACTCAGAGTATTGCTTAACTCCCATTACATGTCAGAAAATGATGGAGAAATACAGTCTCATTTCTTGTATAAGTCTTAAAATGTGAACCAGGGATTCTATATCTAACCACATTGGCCTTCAGTATAAAGGCCTACTATTACAAACACGTAGGAGAGTTCAAGAGTGACTGTCCCCATGAGCCCTCCCTGATATCCCACTTTATACAGCCGTATGACTGGACATACCGCCAGAAAAGAGCTGCTTCAATCACCAAAGAGAAGTACCCAAACACATGTGCCTCGTGATGGAAGAACAAAACATCTTCCTCGAAGCAGTCTTGCCACACACAAACCTGACTCGAACCAGAATTTTATAGCCTCCTACTAACAGCAGTTCGAAACTACCAGCTGTCCCGTGGGAGAAAGATGAGGCTTTCTGCTCCCGTAAAGATTTACAGCCTCGGAAACCCCGTACAGGGTCGCTATGAGTCGGAACCGACTCCACGGCACATAATCACCACCACCACTATTTTAGAGGAGTCCTGGTGTGGTGCTGTAGGATAAGCACTGGACTGCTGACCTCAAGGTCAGTGGTTCAAACCCATCAGCCAGCCACTTCGTGGAAACCCTATACAGGGTTGCCATGAGTTGGAACTGACTCGACAGCACTAAACAACAGCAAATATTCTCAAGGATGTCAAGAGGACAAAGGACCACGTCAAATGGCACCATAAAGGGTACAATCAGACTCTATGGGAACAAAAACACCTCACTGCCTCACCAGATTAAGTGTCAGGAACAAAGATGGGGGGGCGGGGGAGAGAACCCACCCACTATGAAAACAGCAAGCATATTCAAAAGGCTTATTACCAACAATCACAATGGTGGCTCTTACTTGGACCCCAACTCAAACAAATTGTTTAAAAAAAAAAACAAAAAATTCATGAGATCATTTAAAATTTAAACCCCAACTGGATACTAGACACTAAAGAAGTACTAAATATTATGAACAGAGGGGTGAGCAGGTAGAAGTAAAGGTGAAACAAGATGGATAGGGTTTGATCACTGTTACCAGCTGGGTAACGAGTCCATGGAGTTCTCATTTATAGTCATCTGTCTACTTTTACATGTACCTAAAAGTTTCTGTCACAAAGTTGCTGTTGTTTATTTAATGTAAGATTCGAAATACAGATTATGGTTACTGTAAAAGAACACCTAAAAAAGGTCAGCCTACACCACACACACAAAAAAAGGCTTTTCTGATCTGTACTTTTCTTTGATTTCTTGAGGGGGGGGCGGGGCAGGAGGGCATAGCAAATTTTTCCGAGCAAGAACTTACTCATGTAAATAAAAATTCCATTCATAAGAGACACTCACTTTGTCTTCCTTTGGTCACAGGGTTTGCCATCCTCATTGATGTTGCTACATTTTTACCTATTTTGTCACAGTTTCAGACAACTTACTTTCATTCTAGGTTAGCAACTACAGATTGTACGCAGCAGTATGTCAGCATTTGCGCACTGACCCCATGAGCTAAGGCCAGAAGCTCCTTTCCTATCCCAACTCTACACTGAGAGTGTGATTTGTCCTGGTTTTCATGAGGATGCTTCCTTGGTTTACAACACCCCCAGGGGATACCCCATTTCCTCTAATACAGCAGTATTTGAGATACATATTTTCAATTGTGGCAACTACGAAGAAATAAACAGCTTTGTACATAGATGACACTGCAATAAGGCATAGTGTGTGTTCTAATGCAACAAGTGTGAACGAACTACACCAAGTAGTTCTGTATCATGCTGGCTCCTTAAAAACACCCTAAAAAAAACCACCCTAAAATCCCATGGTGCCTGCCCCTGCATTGCTAAGATGTCTAGGGCATCTCGGCACACATTGGGGAGCCAAGCCTTTAAATAATGAATAAATAAATACAAATGTCTCGACCTCAACTTTCAAGCTAAGGGGCTAACTTCAATAAACTATAACCGTTTTAAATTTAAAAATTTAAAATACACAATTTAGCTATGTTAATATTGAATGCTTAAAATACACACATGCCAAACTGAGACTTTTTGTGGAACGGCATGAGGATGGAATCTGCTAACCTACTACCCAGAAGCATAAAGTCACAAACAGACATGTGTGTCAACAGGGAGTCACCCTGAAGGTTGCCTAATTAACTGTCTTTCTTCAAAGATTCTACTTAAGTGAGTTTTCCATTCACTCACCTGATTCAACTTCCAGTGGAATTCAGCAGGCTTGTACTTCTTCTCCTCGGAAGGGTCCTGACGGAGGAGGAAAATGAGCCGGCAACCATGGACATAGAGTGAGTAATGATGCCGGTTCAGATCTGCAAAGACAGTGCCTACTGGTAAGTGGCCAACGTAAGACCCAAAGGAGAAATAAAAGCTATTTGCTTTAATGGGTATTGAAGGCACCATTTTATCTGCATACATCAACTCTCCATTTGGACAAAGGCAGGGTTTAGAATCTACACTCATGATCACCACAGACATCTCATGGACTAAAGTTAAAGTAGCAAACACGGAAGCTCTCTAGTATGTGGGCCCCAGTACATGGCGGCTACCACCACCCAACTTGTGTGAAGTCCTAGTGGGAAGGAAACACCATCCTGGCCCCAGTGACCACTGCATTGGGCAGGCACAGGGTTAGAGCATGGAAAAGTGTGACATCTTTCATAATGAAATTTATCTACCTGTTTTGTCTGAACTACAAATAATGGTCTCTTTCTTCCTGCCAAAAGGCCCGTGCCGCATCCACACAGAAACCATAAAAGGCTCTTTCGGGTTGACTGTAACGACGCCGTCCGGGATCCTCACTGCTTGAGTGCCATTGAACTCGAAGACCTGGTCACTATCATGGCCATTGTCGGTGGGGAGGCCAATGGTCCAGTTTAGGGTGCTGCTTGGGGAGGGCAGCAGCTCAGCAGTACCAGAAGCAGCACCTGAAACAAACGATGCCTGAGACAAACAGCACGAAGAACTTAAGAGCTGTGAAGTCCTCGAAGGCTGTGCCCTTATCTTATGGCTACACAGTGTGCTGGTTCCAGTTTCACTTTTACAAGAGAGAGAGATTTTTATTACCAAAAAAATACAAGCATTATGGAGATGTTAAAAAAAAAACAAGGAAGAGAAAAAGAAATATTACCAGACAAATGCATCCATTATTCACAATTAGATATAAACATTTCTAGACCTTTCTCTGGGAATACATGTACAGAAACACTGTATTTATTTGTACAAGTGAAGTCGTGAGAAATATACATGTTCCCAAGAATCGTCTTCTATAACCTGGTGTGGCACTGTGGGTTAATGCACTGAACTGCAGGGTCGGTTGGAACCACCACAGGGTCAAAGGTTCAAGCTCACCAGCCACTCCTCCGAAACCCTACGCAGGGTTGCTATGGGTCAGAACCGACTCGATGGCACTTAACAACAACAACACTAATCAAAAAGAGTTCTGGTGTGGCACTGCAGGATAATGCACTGGAGTGCAAGGTCAGCGGTTCAAACTCACCAGTCACTCCTCAGAAACCTTATGCAGGGTTGCTGTGAGTCAGAGCTGACTTGACAGCACTTAACAACAACAACCAAAAGACAAAACAGGTTACCCTCGAGTTGATGTTGACTCATAAGTGGACCCAGGTGTGTCAGATCAGAACTGGATTCCACAGGTTTTCAATGACTGACGTTTGTAAGTAGATCACATTGGTCATTTCTTCCCAGGTGCCTCGGGGTGGACTCAAATCTCCCGCCTTTTGGTTCTGTTAATTGTTTATTAGGTGGCTCCTAGCGTATTCTAAACAGCCTAACTAGCATTTAATACTTGTACAGAGAGATCACAACGTATTTACTCAGCCTCCTTGGTGGACACTGAGGATGTCCCTAGTTTTTTGGCCCCATTATAAACCTCGTGTGTCTCCAGGATTATTTTCTTAGATGAAACAGATACCCAATTGCTAAGTCAAAGAGCATGAAAATGTCTTACAACTTTTGTTAAGTATTGCCAAACTCAAATGTTCTTTTTCAAGTTTTCCACAGAAAAAGATGCTGCTGCTTCTCTTGGTCACTGGTCCTCAGCATCTCTATTCCTTGGGAAATCGTGACTTGGTTGGACCAGCCTGTACTCGAGTATCAGAGAAGACCTTAGTTCAACTCCCAGTTCTGCTCTTCTTAAAAGTCTGACCTTGGGCAAGCTACTTACCCTTCTTAGCTTTAATTAAGCCCTCTGTAAGAACATGCTCAAAACCAATTACTCGGGGAGCCTGTTGGGAAGACTTAATGTAATAACTCATATGGAAGTGCCTAGCATACAGGCAGCACTCAAATACTAAATTCTTTATTTTCTTCCTAATGTCAAACTGTTCTGTGAGAGAATGCTCATTCAGTACCATAAAAAAGTAATAGTAGTATGAGAAGACAATCAGTTTAACACACAATTCTATGTGTAGAAAATGAGAAAATACTCCAGCCCTCCAAACTCACATTTATTTGGGTACACGATTATTATAAATATTTAGAGTGAGCCCCACAAAACCTCCTAGCAT